CACCGCCCCTAGCCAACACCCACACCAACACCCACACATGGGTTACATGTACGCGGTGAATACCAACAAAACAAAAAAGCTTGGTGTTTGTTCAGTTTAAATCTGGCATATTTTAGGTACGAAAACGACGTCGCGATCTCTGGACGAGGTGGAAAATATTAAAGGCGGAAAACATTACGACGTATTTCAGTTTTGTTGTCTGGTAAATTGCGGTCGGTAAAGGAGATCGTGAAGGCAACTACGGTAACTGTGGTTCGGTTGTCGACAACGCAACAAAAACCACCACCATCCTTCCTAATAGCTTTGAATATTGCCTTCCCTACAGCAGTGCCTATTTGTTACCGGCGGGGCAGCAATATGCATGCAAGCGTGCAGTAGCGAAGACGTGGTGGATGATACAAACAACACGCACCAGCGGTGAAACCGTGATACTCGGGACAGAACAAAAAATAAATGATGATGCCCGTGCCGCCGTTTCGTTGTTATTCTGTTCGCAAACACTCAAACCAATCGCCGCGCTCACCAGAAATATGGCCGCGAACTGGACAAGGTGCGGCAGATTGTTCCAAATGCACCTGAAGCCCGACGGGAGCTCAACCAGCACTGCACCGCACAGATCAACAGCAAAGTCACGGGTGAAGGAGGAGTCGTTCAAACTCAGTCGCTCGTGGCCGACAGAGGTCGAGGACATTCAGCAGAAAATGATGGAAACACACACAAGACATTAAGCAGGGCCGGCTACGGGGGTAATGCGGGCGCCCCGTGCATAATGGAAGAAAAAACAAGATTCTTCCTGTGCTGTGCGGGTGGTACACAACAGGAAGGCTCAAGGCTGCTAGAAGAAGACTCACTGTTGCTTTCCATGTTGCCCAGTTTGATGGCTGAGGCAAACGTCAAGGCCAGCAGACTAACCACATGACCACCGCCACGAGAACCGCTGATGGCAAGACACGAAACAAGCAAGCAAGCAAGCGTAGGGACGGAAGAAAAATCGAGTCAAACGAAAGGGGCCGCTAGACCCGATTGTAACAGTAGAACGGTCTCGTCGCGATGTCCAAGCCGGTATTTGTCACAGTAGAACAACACCCTTTGCCTGTTCAGGTCAATTGCAGGGATATATGCAAAAATATATACAAGTGTAAATATGTAGCTCTCAAACAAAAAGTCGAAGGATGCACAACAAAAAGGTCCTGTAGACAAAAAAAAAAAGGTGGGCTCAGAGGAGCAGCAGTATAACAATCTCCTGCTCGGCCTCCTCCTTACCTTGACCCAGCCGCTATGGTTGGGCGTGAGGCTATCTCCCGGACCCCGTCCTTCGGTGGCGGTATTTTTCCGTCCCACGAGGACCCGTCTTTGCTCGTTCCGGTGGGACGGGAAACGGACCCCGCGTCGCAGGCCATGGGCACTTCAGGATGAACAACAACCGGCACCCTCATCGTTTCCTGAGACTCGACGACCCCCGCTTGTCCTTGATCAGTCGGCCTGGCGGGGGCGGGCAGCAGGTGTTCTATTGCTAGGTCGTTGGTCGGGCCACACGCGAAAGAACGAATGAATGAAATGCCTTTCAATCGTTTGCTGAAAGGCAGAAAGGCTAGCTAGGGCAGGGGGGGGGGGGGGGGGGCTACGAGCATCTGACAGAAGACCCGACCAATGAGAATTGAGCGAGCGGTCTCGGGGGGTTGTCTCACGCGAGCTGTTCTAAGGACGGGACTCAAACTGTGTGCAACCAACCGCGCCGCTTTGACGTTGTGAGGATTTTGATTTTTTTTGTTTTTGAAACTGATAAAAACTACAAACGTCGAGGGCCACGAGAATGTAAGTAAGCCCCCCCGGTCGGTGCCAACTCTCTGTAGCCTCATTCCCGAAACAAAACAAAGTATTAATCCACCAGGACTGTTACTGTCGTCGGTCGTCGTGGCTCTCATTGGATCGAGTGGAGACGGCACCCTACCAAAAAAAAAGGGAATTTCCAAGTAGATTTTCTTTTCGTTTCGGCGGTTACCACTCCCGCCCCCCCGGTCGGGTACCCCGGCGAAGGAGCGGGTGTGCAGTGAATGTACCGTACCGCCAAAATACGGCACGAGAGGCGGCCGCCGCAACCCAGCGGCGACGCTGCCGACGACAGATCGATCGGCCTCGCGCCCCAGATTTTTTTCAGCGTCTTCATTATTACTACTGTTTAGTTGCATGCGGCCCGCGCCTGTTCGTAGCACCACGGTAGGTAGGTATTGAGTTGTGTTTGGAGGCAGGCAGCTTGTTGTCAGAAGCGCAGAGAAGAAAGGGTGACTCAGGACCTTGGTATACTTTCGAGTGCGCCGGGCATGCTACATATTAGCCCAACGCACAGCAGAAGGGGGACCATCGCGTACACATCGCCAAGGATACACGATCCCTAGATCTCCGTAGATCAGTATCGAGTGCTCCAAGAGTACCCCAAACAAGTTGTTCATGTTATTAACCCACACGACACACCGACGACGTGGACACAATTTTTTGCCTCGTCGTCCTGTAACAACTCACTACCCTCGCGGTTTCCGTCTAGAGTACACGTACTTGATGTTCGATCTACAAAATATTTATTTACCTTTCTCTCTAATTTTTTGCGAATTTTGTATGATGCGGAGGGACGGAAGCGTTCCTGAGAAAAAATAAATAAATCGGGGACGAGTGCTCTCTGCTGATTCAACTGCCGGTACTGTAGTAGCGCTACAGAAAAATAACGCGCGGTCTTCCAGGGGCACGGCAGCAGTGAGGAGCACTCAGCCAACCGTTCTCAGCAACTCGACGCTACACAGAAAAAGTACATACAGCAGTAAAAGGCGAGGCGATTTGCTCTCTGGAAGAGACACGGGGCGGTTCCCGCGCTGATTCGTAAGAGAAAAAACGAGAACAAAATATAATGCGAGACAACACGCCAGACCCGCGGGGTGCTCCAGACAAGCTTACTCGCGCCCGCGTTGTCCCCGGCGACGCAACACATGTTGTTTCTGTGGCTGGGAGGTGCCCGCCTAGCAAGAATGCCGTTGCCATCCGAACAACCATGAGGATGTTCGTGCGTGCGTTGATGTGTATGTGGTTGCCAATTTTCGCAAATATATCACTGCAGACCAAATAAAAATAATGTTGAACGGCCAATAGCCTCAGTAACGCTGAGGTCATCCACAGGCAGGTCAGGGAATCATCACAGATCATCACCAGAGCCCACACGATGGTACCGTATGTCCAGTATAGGCTTGCCCAACGCATGTGTGTCTCCCCCCGCCGTATTAATTCCATTCGCAAAACCGAACAGAAAATAAAAATCAACCGGCGATTGCGGGGCTCGAAAAATGTGTGACAGCACGGCAGTCTACGCAGCAGGTAGAAACAGAGAGCATGCAACCAGCCATAGCAAAGAAGGCCCCGCGTGACGCTGTGCGCTGCTGTAGTCTGCGCGAATTCGATGCCGGTAGTTGACGGCGGCTGCAAAAAAGTCGGACGCGCACAACCTTAACCTTGGCGATGATTGTTTTGGTCGGCATCAACATATATTCCGTGATCGCGACTGACTCTCTTAATTAAACGCTTCTTCTTCACCTCGCCACAGCAGTCACGTCGCTGCATCACCACGTATGTACGCACACACAATACTAACGCTCACCGATTAGACTATTGTGTGCGGAGAAGATGCTCCCGGGAGGATGGGATGGGCTGCGGTAAGTGTCTGGGGTGCGTGCGGGTGTGTGGAACTTTTGGTACAACAGCAATTTCGCGCCAAAATGAACAAGCCAATCAGCATGTAGACTAGTGGTCAAACGGTTACCGGTACATGTACAACAGGAAAGGGAACGAGATATTTTACCGCCGGCCCAACTTGGCCGGCCACCGCTTTTCTCTCCAACAAACTGCACCACTGCTGTGTTTTGTCGGGACGGCGACGTCCAACGTTAAATTATTATCTCGGGCCGTTCTCTTGATGGGCTTTGTTTAGTGTCGGCAGCACATGCCTCCGTGTTCTACCCGACCGAGGGGAGGGTGGGTCTCGCTGTTGTCCCATATGGATGCTGTGTTGGTTGTGCTGCTGCACACATCATGCACAGCAGTCCGTCTACAGAAAAAAAATCCATGCAGCATCCCTGCGGACTGCTGTGAGATTATCTAGACTATTATTCCACATCACAAGGGCGGATGAAGCATACGCTTGTCTCCTTCTACAGTCAGTCGCGCAGCAGCTGCACAAGACAGCGTGGGCATACAATCGTTTGTAGGCCCTCGGCATACATGTAATACGCAGGCAGTCCATTTCAAAGGGCCGACTGCTCACCTCCTGTCGGCAAGACCCCCGGAACAAATAAAGGACGAAGGGCTACAGCAGTAGCCGCGATCATGGCGAATGGAGGATTACCAATCCTGGTGTTGCCTCTGCACGAGCGGGTTGGCGCGTCGAGGCGCCACTCACCTGTTCTTCTCTCCGGCGTGATCAAGTGTGAGACTGCTGTGCTGTGGTTGTGACTTCGTTCACCATCCCCGCCCGGTTTCGATTTCACGGAATAATAGTGTTGTTTCGCAGAACGACGCGCAGCAAGCAAGCGAACATTCCTCGCGGTGCTGAACACGATGGATGCTTTTGACCCGATTCGCAGGGTATCCGTCGATTGACTTTTATTACCATAATCGGTACACCTTCGCATATGGCGTCAGTCAGCAGGATACTGGTTCGAATCTCCTTGGGTGCACATTTTTTCTCCTGACTCAATTGGACATTTTCCCATATACACAAACAACAAAATGTGTGTCAGTCCTGATAACACCTCTTGGAATCGATCCTATAAAGAACCTTGTGACACTTCCATCGAATTACCCGTCCTGGCCACAAGAGGTTCCCAGTTGAGGGTAAATTCTGTGGGTGGAGAGTAAACCCGATTCGCAGGGTATCCGTCGATTTACTTTTACCAGAATCGGTACACCTTCGCACTTTGCCGTAAAATTCCAGAAAATTCTATGGCACACAGCCCGCCAATGATCTCGTGGCCTAATGGATAAGGTGTCTGTTTCCGACGCAGAAGATTCGGGGTTCGAATCCCCGCGAGATTGTTTTCTCTTTTATTTAGATAGAGAGATCGGAACGGTTTTTAGTGTGAAGACAACAACAACAACATCATCATCACCAACAACAACAACAACAACGGGGCGCCGCGCTGCCCAAACACTATCTGTGGTGAGTGCTACAGGTTTCCATGAGCCCGGACATGACCACCTCAACCATGATGAATGGGGCTACGCTCATCATCGAGACATCGAGACAGACAGAGTAGCGTGAGGATGGGGAAAGAAAGGAAGGGACCAGCGGGAGGAACGGGGCGGCCGCCGGGGCGCGATCAATCATCATCCTCATTCCACTCTCTCTGTAGAATAATTCCCCGCACTATTTTACTTGTAGCACGATGGTTGGTTGAATATGGGGCATGGATAGCTATCTATGTATCCAATAGATACAAGTAAACGGAGATTGTAGTTGGTAGATTGCAAGGAAGGGAGTTTTGACTTCGTTTCCTCGGAGAGAGATTGATTGGTTTGTCTGGCGAAGAGGTACATACAGTCTATTCCTCAAAAATGAAAACAAACGATGTACAAATTTCTGACAGCTCTCGACGAGATGGCTTTAAAAGCCGCCAGCGGGCTTCGTCGGTGTGCTGGCACCCACCATTCTGTGTTTAAACTTTGGAGAAATCGAGCTTTTTTTTTTCTATAGAAAACTGGTCCAGGGGTGGTGTGTGGTGCTGCAGTACATCGTGTCGGCTATGATGACATCCATACGGCCCTCCCTGTGGATCGTTTCTCCTGCGTACGGTCCGTCCAGAATAATTTGTCCAGTCACGTTGTCTGGGACGACAATATTTTGATCGGAACCGATCGATGCAGGCGAAAAACCGAGGCTTGCCCTGCAGCAGCCAGCCCTGCAGTGATCGCCAGGAAAAGGAGGTGTCTCACCGCGATCATTTGAGCACTGATCTTGGAATATGCTCTACACTAACACCAACTCATTTGCGAGGTGTCCACAAAATTCCCCCGGGGCCCGATGATGCAGCATGTCGTGCTGATGATGATGTTGCCCCAGCTCGTTCCTTGTGATTTCAAGTCTGGGTAATTGTTTTTGGGTTTGTTTGGGGGTACATAGGTAATATATGTGTTGGTTTTTTATTTAATTAATTATTTTTTTTGTGTTTTTGGTAGGCAAGTAGTGAACTGTGTTGCTTCGATCGAAGCACAAGACACACACGCCCTTCTTTCACCTGAACTATTGTTACCGGTTCTCTCCTTCAAAAGGAAAACACAACTCGGAACACTCACTCTCGCTCCCCATCTGGTCCTCGCCGAAACCGTTCCCCGCTACACTACGCTAAAGCCTGCTTCATGCCGTCCGTACTCCACTATCCCTGCCCATTGCTACGATTGTACTATCTACCGTGTTCGACTTGACCGTAACCCCGACAGAACCTGCTGTGTGGGTCAGTGGAGCACACAAGCCTCACAACCTAGACACTATCTACGAGATGATCTAACCTACGAGTGAACCGGGCTACTGACCCACGCTAATTCCCTACTTGCTCAATCGCGGGGAGTCATCGCCCATGGTAAGCCGAGCTCTGCCGCCACGAGAACGTTTACCCACACGTAAACTGTTACCGACCTACGACGCGACTTACGCAATCACGGAGCCATCGACGCCCACATGCTGAGCTTCGCTCTACTGCTGCCTCCTCCTACCCTACGCTTACAACAATATAATGCTATATCCTGCTCGTGTGGATAATTTTTCCAGAGCCACGACTGCTGTAAAAAGAACAACCCGGGTACACCCGCGGTTCTCATTCAACCTCTCACCGGCTTTCCACCTCCCCGGCTACGTCGCGACGTATCTCGACCGACGCTGCTATCACAGCTACCCTGCTACGCTGACGGCCGCCTGCACGATTGAATCCTCGCCAGTGGTGACTTCTGGCAGACAAGAAGCACCAGAATCCAACCCTGACAAAAAAAAAAACGATAACGGACTAGTGCTATCGAAAAAGCGCCGCTCCCACACGACGCACCCACTCAATCGACCTCTTGGCCTTCTAGCACCGCTGCTGCTTCACGAGCGGAGTGCTGAAAACGACGAAACCACCACAGTCAGACACGGTTATCACCCCCCCACACGGTAGGGAAAGGCTTGCGACAACGTTTCCCTCCCCCCCGCCCTCCCCTTCGAATAAAAAAAATAAATAAAATAGAGCGCGTCCAAGAAGAAAGAACGATGTTCCCACACCCGCTCGAGCAGCACGCATCACACTATGTAAATTACTAGAGTAGGAAACATCGACAACACCATGTGGCCGAGCAGGAAGCACGCGATCATGACGTACGTCCACCCACCACACACACACACGCGCGCACGACAAACGAAAGAGATATCAACCACCACGGCACCACACCGGTGGTATGCATACCTGCCCTGGCCAGCCTACCGCGTCACCCACCGACCCACCCCGTGCAACGCACACCATGCATAGATGTTCGACAAGACAAGCACAAAAACGATATCATCAATCACGCCACAGCACCACCGGCGGTGTCACCTTTAACTGCCCGGGCGGTCTACGCCTCCTCCTCCTCCTATCGACCCCCCACACAGCACACGCGACTGCACCACGGAGGGAGAGAGGTTACCGTAGGCGTGACTGCAACGAACGAACGGACTTGCTTACCCCACCACGTCCATCACGTCCCCCAGCGCATCGTCCACGTCGGAAAAGAACTCGCGAACGCTAGAAACCACTTCGTCCACGTCGACCTCAGAAGCTGCTTCTTTCACTTTGGCCGCCATGCGGGCCAAGGTTATCCCGCGGAACAGGCGTTGCATGGCCCTGCGGAGGCCGCGCCCTACCCGCGGTTCAGGTTCGGGAGCAGCGGGGGGGTTAGCCACCGGCTGTGCTTGCTCAGTACTCGCGGGCGCAGGAGACCCTAGGGTTCCGACGTGGCTGTCGACTGGGTTAGATGCCGTAGATGCCGTAGATGCCGTAGATGCTGCTGCCGCGGGGGCGGGGGCGGGGGCGTGGGCGGGGGCGTGGGCGGCGGCGGGGCGT